CCCCCTCGTAGTTTCATTTCATATTTTGACCGTTTTAATCGACGGAACTCTTTTTTTATCGATAGAGAACTCTAGAACTCTTCGGGGGACAACCAGAACTCTACTAACCTTTTTCAAATTTTGAAAAAGTGGGGCTAACTTCACAGACGTGATTTAATTCTAATGGTATAATTTACTTTTACTTTGATAATCTCTCCTTGACAAAGGAGAGATACCGCAACATGCTTGCTTTTTTTTCAATAACGATATAAGGCAATCTAGTTCGCGAACGCGTATCTCCGGTATCCGGCCGAACGCGATTCCCGCATTGATCGTTAACGCGCGGATTCGTTCCTTCCGGGCTTATATCGGCGTCCGTCGCAGCGTACAAATCAGATGTAATTTACAGAATGGCCGGACAATCACGCACTGATAATTGGATCCGCGCGAGTGTCCGGACTTCACTTGTCGTTTGCGGTCGGGGGAAAATGCGCGAATGAATTATTTAGCCGCGACGAGCGACACGTCACGCGGACGTACAAATGCCCCGCGTTTCATGTTTTATTCACCGGCCGCTGTGCGCATTGCGCGATACGGAACTAGACGCTCTCAGGGATTGACATTCGCGAGCACGTGGTTTCGCGGGCTGGATTATATTCGGCAGCCCTCGCGATGGCATCGCCGTCGCGAGCGAGGTCCGGCTTCTCGCGGGAATGAAAAATAGATCGCGACCTTGTCAATAATCCCGCCGCGCGCGCGTACCTCCTTATCGAATATTTCGCCGTTGCACGGAACAACTCATCTAGTTGAGTTAACCAAAATTTGGTTAAAGGTGGAACAAATATTTTGGTTGTGAGAAGCAATATTTTGTTCTTTGAACCAAAGGTTTGATTCTTTGAAGCAAAAATGTAACAGGCTTAGTTTCAGAGGATCAAATCTTCGGTAGAAAAAACGAAATTTTGGTCTTCACAACCGAAACATTTGTTCGACCCTATTTTAACCAAATTTTGGTTAACCCATCAACTAAATGAATTTTTCAGTGTGGATCCCGACATGGGGGCCGATTTTTGTATCACTTGTCGAAACATTCGCGAGAGAACAATCAGGTTAGCGATATGAAAAGATTCATGAGGAGGCAAGTTTGCGTTCAAACTTCTAACTCTACGCGAACTCTCAATCCTAGAAAGGTAACGTCAGTAACTTTCACTCATACTGAAAACCTTAAGTTCCCCTTCTAGTGTTTATTTCATCGCCTACTAGAATAAATCTTATTGTTTTTTTTGTATGATATAAAATATATAATATATTATATATTAAAATATATTATATCTCTATAATATATATAATATAATATAAAGATATAAAATTATTGCCAGATCCAGAGACGATTACTTACGATAAAATTACAGAGATTAAGATTAAGATGGTAATTTATTGGTAATTTTGGTAAATTTCGTTGTTTATTATGCAAAAAGTTTTATGCAAAAATTCGTGTTTTTTGTATTAATGTTTAAAATAAAACAACATTCTTCTCATCAAATGTATGACTAATAATCTCTATAATATTTCTCAGATGAAAGAAAGGAAACTACTTACAATTCTTCGAGAATATTGAAGTTCTTATTTCTTAGAATCTACTAAAATTTTTTTCAATTATAAAATTTTTTTCAATTATATATCTTAGTCTAGTCGCTGAAATAACAAAGTAATAAATGAAAATAGTAAGCCTGTAAAATAGTATGAAAAATATAGATTGAGATGTAAAATTTTTTTTTAGAATTAGTTATTCTTTGTATCTCGTTTCCTAATTACTACGTGCTATATAAAATATATCAATATACTACATCAAAATATTTTATGGAAAAAGCATGAGTGAAATAAAGCGTCTTACTCATCTTGAAGACTAAATGTTTCTTCTGATCTTTATTCTAAGATTTTTTATTTCTAAAATTCTTTCAAAATTATTATTTTATCAGCTTTCCAAATTACCGAATAAGTTACCGTCAAACTGAGTTAAATTTGACCAACTGAGGGTCAAATTTTCATCTTTAACTGTAAGATATATCTAAGGAAAAGCTGAATCGTACCGTAGACTATCATTACCTTTTCAGAATTAAAGTTTTTTGCAGTTCAATAGAACTTGCGCTACTTGTCTAGAGTTGAACGCTCCTGCGAGCGAATTTTCTTACAATATGCACGAAATCATTGTTATATATGGACGGTTGTTCTCGAGACCTAGAAGAATGAAGGGAATGCGAGATTCGCTGCCAAAGCCCTTAATTGGAGTCCGGGGATTCTCGGCCGCGAGAATTCACTTTAAGCGGTCATACCTCACAGAAAGAGAGACAGAGAGAGGGAGAGAGAGACAGCGAGACAGAAAGAGAGACAGAGAGAGAGAGAGAGGGACCCTAAGGTGTCCCGCTGCACTATTTCCGTCGCTTTGGACGCCGTCGTAAAAAGACGCGCGTGCATGCGTATTAATAGACTGACCGAGCACACGCATCCGTGGTGACATCGCGTGTACCATCGAAATTCAGCCGAAACCGCCGCGCGAATTCGCTCCCGCGCGGATTCCACCGTGGACGAACGCGAAGGACGGTAACACGTGTTGCTGCGCGCGTCAAAAGGAAACGCCGTCAGGGGAAATTCGCACTGCCGACTCGCGAGAGCTAACTCCGACGGTGAGAGTGAGAGAGAGAGAGAAAAAGAAAAAGAGAGAGAGAGAGAGTGGGAGAGAATGAGACTTACATTTTCGCGAGACCTCGTCGACCGGGATACTCGAACGTCGCGAGGTCGCTCGGATAAAAACCATTAATGCTTTTCGCTTGCGCTTGTATATCGTGTGAATTGACGTGTCCTCAAAATTAACGATGTCACGTTTCTCTGTTGCAGAATCACGAGTATGGCGCGTACGGAGACGAGCCACGTCGCAAAAGGTGAGTCACGATTACTTACACTGAATAACAGGATCTTGCTGTCGAGACGAGAATTTCGCACACCGGAAAATAATCCGGTTAAAACGGGATCGACCGATCCCGACAGACTGGTGTACGTAAGCTTTACACACGGCAACTTTGAGTGTGTGTTAAGTCGCGAAATTCAGCAACGTTAAGTATCTCACAACTGACCAGATTACAACTCATATTTGTATCACATAGAATGATGAAATCAAAACACAAAAGGAACACGAAAAAGAAATCATGAAAATTTACTCTAAACGCGATATTTCATGTGAAATGTAATATGAAAATCTGAGCGTAACTCTTAGTAAATTTGTCGTTGCACCAGCAAAATCTACATTATTGTACGATGTGAACTTAATAATTAATTAAATATAGTATACTTACTTTGTACATAAATATAATTAAAATAATTGTAAAATTGTCTCACGTCGCGATAAACATGAAAGTCTGTCTGAGAGACGTTTGGTAATGTTTGATAATCATTTGGTTGCGCCAATTTCAGTGAATTTGTGTGTTTTATTTTCTCAATAATTCATGTATTTGATACAAATGAAAAACGTGATAATGCAAAACTAAATTTTACGTATCAAATATTTTAGTTTCGAATACAAAAATAACCTTTTCAATGTAGTCGTTGGTTAGCTGCACCGAAAGAAAGAAACGGTTAATGTCACTAAAATCATAATTTCCGGCTTCAACTATATTTTTCTATTGATCTAACAGATCAGTATAAGTAGTAATAGCAACATGCATATAAGGTTTTTATCGCTGACACTGTATAGCAACACTTACTGCAAAAATGGCTCTCTTTACAACAAATCTCTCTCACAATACGATTACAATTACAAGCAGCAAACACTTTTTTCTTGTATACAAATGACATATCGTTTCCATAGTCCGATTTCCGGCCGTAAGTTATGCAAGAATGACCCAAATCCACATGTGTATGGAGTACGTTTCGAAAAGAAAAGACGCAACTGATAGAAAAAGAAGAAAACTTTCTAATTAATTCTCCGATTTCTAGTTTCTAATTCATTTTAGGCGCCCATAGGGCGAATCTTGTGTTTTATGCAGAAAGACGTATATGGAGTGTTAGGCATTAGTAACGGAAACTCAAAAATTATTTTGCGGTTTGGATCACTTGCCCAAGTCCGTGGTCAATTTTGTTCCTTCGCTCCTTGGCAGTCGAAGTAAAAATAGCTGACCGGTCGCTTCTATCTTATCGCACCTCGGACAGTTTATCGGTGTCATGCAGAAGGTTCTTGGGCTTAATATCTGGTCGATGTCTAGCATGCCGATGCGTTCTCTACCTCTCTCTCTCTCTCTCTCTCTCTCTCTCTCTCTCTCTC